TAGGAGGTAAAATTGAGGTGATAATTTGGATATGGGGGGTAAGAAAGAAGGGGAGTTGCTGAGGCTTAGGCTCATGATTTTGTTGGAGTTCTCACCCTCTACTATCACCTACATACCTCTTTTGTTGTTTGTTTGTTTGTTTTGTTTTTTTTAAAGGCCAGGCAGTGTCAGATGAGGTAGTGTGAGGTACTAGAAGCTACAGAGCAGGGCATTGAAGGTTATGCTAAAATCCTGTCTGTACCTGGCCCACCAGCCTCCTTCTTTTAAACAATTTGAACCTTACAGTATGTTGTTGCTTTAAAACAACAGTAAAACAGTCAGTTCCTGAATTTAACCTGCCTCCTTCCTCTCTGAGTTCATACCCTGGGCATGATAAGCATAAGCCCCATAAGGCCTGCCAGGCATCCTCCTCCCACTTCAGCCCTAATATTCTCCAGGTTGGCTGAGAGTCAAACCACCTGTCTCGTGCCCTCCTGTTCTCCAGAGAGCTTTGAGAAAATAGGTTTGTGTGACCCTGGCCCTTTCCTTTCTCTAAAAGCAGACAAATAACGCTTCAAAAGTTGACATGACTGTTAAGAGGATGACCCTTTTCTAACTTGGTGGGTCAACCTGGGTGTTTGGTGCGAGCTCTGTGAACATTCATTATACGGCAACTGTTTGGCCTGCACCGTGCGTAAACCTGGACAGAGGTGAACTCGAGGGTGAGTCAGGAAGGTAAGCTGGTCCAAGCCTTAACTGCCAGACGGTGAGTGTCAGGCCTGGGAGCCACCGGCCCTGCAACAATTCATCAGCAGTCAAATTAAGGGAATAATGCAAGTAGATATTTAATGAGAGATTATTTCTGGAGATTATAAGGATACAGCAATTGCAAATAAATCCCTGACCTTTTCTGAGCCTGGGCTCTGTAAAAGAGCTGAATCACCTGCTTGAAGGGATTAAGGACAGCCGCTTCCATCTGGCGGGCTGCTCAGACTTTTTCTGTCATTAGCAAACTCTGCTTGGTGGTGATGGTGTTCTAAACCTTTTAGTGGAAACTGGATTTTCCAAGTAGGAGATCTCAATTAACTTAGATTATGTACCTGCTGGACAGAGATCAGGACTAATGATCTGGTTATGGATGCACTGTAGTCCCTATCACATCAGTGGTACTCGGTACATGTTAAATAAGAAAGCAGTTGTTCATCATTAGTAACCTAATCATAACA